GATGTAAACGTCGAACAGAAGCGCAATTTATCAATGAAGACACTGAAAGCGAAGAAAATGATGTCAGACTCTATTCGACGATATTAAATAAATAGCTATCCACCTATGGAAATCTGTACAAATATGACCAAATCAAAGAGGTTTTTATATAAAGAAAGTGGTTGCGTAAACTTTTAAGATAAACAAAATATTTTAATGTATTGTTCTAAATTATAGCTACTTGTTACGTCTCTGGAACTTGGGAATTATAAGGAAAAAATTATTTTTCATAACAAACACTTAATACTTCTTACACTTCTTTACACTTATTTCCAAGTTCTCCTAAATGCATTCACATTGTTATTCGAGTAATTATCAAACTTTTACAAAGTTATGAAAGTGGCACGGTTTTTAGCGAATACTGTAGTATCACATCACAATTCAGTTGTCACTGCATCCTGCGGACTTCGTGGCGAATTGTCAGCATACATTAACAGCATGTCTCCGTTTCAGGTCACTGACCATCCCGAACCGGCCGTAACGCAGATAGTAACTGGAGACGACCATAAGGACATGCTGGCAGCCACTTTAAGTCAGGCGCTGAACCATCTCATGACTTCACGAAGGGCCTACCTCTCCGATGATGAATCCAGCGAGGACTCGGACTTTTGAGATTGCCATTCCTTATCGGTAGTAGCTGGATGATACTTCTCCTGGCGGTTGAAGTATCCTTCCTATCGTGCAAGCCTCCGGTTTTCAAATCCTGCACCTTTCCGCCCTCCTTTCCCCTCTATTTCCTGCCAGATCTATAATGCACCCTCCCCCGCCGCAGTCCTAATTAAACCTTCCCATCAACCATAAGCTCTTTGCCGATTTCTGTGTGCGCGCCTTGTCCGACTCAACTCATCGCCACCTTTCCAGAGGCTTCTAACAGCTCAATTTTTTTCTAATTTTTTTTTCTACACCGGTATCGACTTTGACTAATGTCTCTTTGAATGATATATTTCCATCCCTTTTAGTAGTTTGTGCTCGTTTACAGCCGCACTGATATGACGCAGTATCCTACAAGGAACGGCTGCTCATAAATCCGTATTGAAGTTGCTCCGGCTACTTCGGGCATTGTATAACTAGTGGATTAGCTGAATTACGAAAACAGGTAGTGCACCCGTGATCGGTCTGATTACAGTTTCAGACTGTTTGAAGGGAGTTAAACTGGCAAAACATAATCGTTAGCCACCAATACAAGCGAACGCGCAACCAGTTTGGAGCTAAACTCCACTGTTTTATTATTTCGAATTTTGAATTGAATTTCGCCGATACAGCCAAAGAGAGTAAAAAGGCTTGCCTTCGGGACATGTTCGGGGTCGACTGTAAACTGGAGGACCCTTTATCTAAGAGGGGATATCGTTCGGAAGAGTATAACGGCAGCCTGAAACTGCCAGAAAAGGTAAGAGTTACCGAGTTGGACGCTTCAAAATTACTGACTGGGCTACCTGCTCCATGGTGAGCTGCGTCGTACTCAATTGTAATGACTGGAAGACCTGTGCGGGGATACATACCTCATGCGATCGAAGCTACGACTTTACGATAGTCGGAGACTTGAGACATTGGGGTAAGTCAGCCAGAAGGGAGCAGGCAGTCTAACAGCCTTCGGTAATAACTGGTTTGTTTTTGGCCAAGGGGATCAGCTGTGAATCACTACAGCGAACGGGACATTGGGGAACGCTATTTATTCATGTCACGTGTCAATGGGCGTGCAGAGTACTTTTTAGTCGATAAACTAACAGGGAGAGAGTGAATGCGCATTAATCGACCGGTTTTCGGGACATGCCCGTGCCTTTGGACTTCATACAGAGCCCTCGCCAGCAGTTGCATAGTAACATGTAACAATGTATAGGCAAAGTACCGATAAAGAGGAGAGAGTCTGGGGCGGCCATTTCTGATGTGTTAGCCAGTTTGGCTGATTTGATTAATTTGAGTTGTCCCAATTGTGAAAAACCTGGATGCGTTCAGCAGGATTTGAACCCGCACAGTAGAGGAAGCCTTAACCGAAAGCCAACGCTCCAACCACTTGAGCTACAGACGCCTCACCTCGCACCATGAATTTAATCACACTTATGTCGATTTTACGCGCCCAACTTTACCCCTCGAATGGAATCCACAAATACGGAACAGCAAGCTGACTGCCCAAGTGCGTTAGTAGCTCAAGTGGTTAGAGCGTTAGCTTCCAGTAAATAGTTTCTCTGCTATGCGGGTTCAAATCCCGCCGAATGCCCCAAGTTTTCTCACAATTGGTACAACTCAAATTAAGCAAACTGCCAAACCTAATAATTAAGCCAGCTTTGTAGTCATTCTGGTGGATTCTAGATGATTCCTTAGGAAATCCTGCTTGGGCAGTCTGCTTACTGTTCCGTGTTGGTGGATTTCATGCGAGCGGTCAAGTTGCGCGGGTAAAATCGACCCAAGTGTGATTAACTTCATGGCGCGAGCTGGAGCATTTGTAGATCAAGTGGTTAGAGTGTTGGCTTCCTGTAAGGGCCTTCTCTACTATGCGGGGTTCAAATCCCGCCGAACGCCTCGATTTTTTTCACAATTGGGACAACTCAAAGTATTAGCTACTCACAGCCAACACTGCGCGTGTTCCGTTAGCTGGGCACGGAACGTCCCTGCCCCGATGGTTAGTACGCTTGACCGCAAACGACAGGACGTCTGAAACAAAACTTAATGGTAGGGCGTGAGACTACTTGGCGCGTAATGACCAAAAATACTAGGAACGATTGCTTGGGCCGATGTGGGTGTACGTTGACTTACGTTTCTGAAACACTCGGTTCTACCAGATTAATGTATTCCTTCCTCATGCTGGCCGTGACGGTTTCAGCCTCGACGCCTGCCTGTTATTATATCCGTGCTCGAGGCACGCACTTTCACGGGTCTGTTCGCTGCTGATTGATCGCTAGAGGACTCTTGTGACTCTCTCACCCACCAGATTGACATCAACTCACGGAGTCAGCCCGCCGGCTTACCAGAGGCAGGCCAGTAAGCACAGTGAAATGCCAACAGTTATGACAGCTGCAAAGGGAGCAAATGTCACGTGAGCCCTGCAGCGGTCAGTCAAACACAAACAATCAGGTCAAAGGTCGTTCTACGAGCACGGATGCACTAGCGAACAGGCGTTAAGGTTGACACAGCCACAGCTGACAGGAAGAATCAACACATCACTCCGAAGATGGAACCGATAGTGTTTCCGGAACATCACTCTAAATACACTTCTGTAAATTTATTCGTCCCTCCTTCTTTTTTTTCTTCGAGGGATGATAAAAATGAGTTAGTATTTATATATTGAAGCGTTTTTTGGATTATAAAAGAAGCGCAGTCACGTTAATCCCTTGCCTACCTCTATAGGATGCATAGGCAGGGCAATGCTTGAAGGGGACAGTTTTTTGTCAACCACTTAATTGACTTTTTGTGAACTTGTTATGGAGACGAGAAGTGCACGCCAGTTGAGTCATGGCCGCAGGCTGGCCGCGCGCGACCCGAGCAC